GATTTGTTTCGTGAAGTTTAGATTCAGTCAAAGGGCTGCACTTGAGGACCTAGAGGGCCACACGTGGCCTTGAGGCTGCAGGTTCTCCACCCCAATAGAGTATTTGGAAAGTCCCCTCCAGCTCTGATGTTTGATGGTTTTCTAGTCAATGGAGAAGCATTTGTGATGAAGACAGTCTTGTCAGTTTGGAGGGATCAGCCAGAAGCCAAGTAAGTGAAGCCCAATGCTCCCACCTTTGAGTTTTGGGGGCACCAATGACAGAAGCTGGGCCAATGGCATAGCTGAGAAAGTATATCCAACTTTTTCCTTCTCGAGCTTAAGACACTAGCCAATCAACAGTACTAACCAGTCATAACATTCCCTCTGCAATGTGTTAATAGCTAATCCCTCAAAATGGTGTCGTGCCATCTTCCAAATAGTAGAAAGAGCTTTTCTTGATATGATCTCATGCGTTCTTGCAACATGCTGAAGGTGGAGAGGACCAGGGGAGCTTAATTCAACTGACACAATGATCGAGAACCCTACTGCATTATCCAGACCATGAAAAGTGGTCATGCAACCGCTGCTTGAAGCTGTCCAAAGTAGAAGAAGCCGCTGGTTCCTGAGGCAGCCCATTCTATTGTGGAATAGCTGTATCTGTTAGGAAGCTCTTCCTGACACCAAGGCTTACATTGGCTATTTCTAACTCCTACCCACTGGTCTTGATTCTGCCCCTTGGGACCGACCAGAACTAGTCTAACCTTTCTCTTCCGTATGAGCGCCCCTCAACTCCTCAAAGCTAGTTCTAGCATCCTCTGTGAAGGGGACGACAGGAAAGGAACAAGTATTTTGGTGGCACCTACTATGTGCCAGGCACTGCTAAATGTTTTTCCCAACATCTCATTTATTAGCTGAGGCAGCCAAAAGTTAAGTGACTTGCTCAGGGTCACACAGCTATTACGTATCGGAGGCCTAATTTGAACCCAGGTCTTCTTGATTTCAGGTCCAGCATTCTATTCTCTGGCCCACTTTGCCGAGTCTTCTCTTTTGGAGGTTAAAAATCCCCAGGTCCTTCACCTGACCCTCATGTGACTCAAGACTCTTTAGTATCCAAGTTGTATTTTTTTTTTTCTGGAGGCTCTCAAGCTTACATATCTGGGTAAATTTGTTCTTCCCCACATCAATAGAATGTAAGTTCTTTGAGGGTCTTAGTCTTTTGTGTGTGTGTGTGTCTGGCCCACAGTACATAAGCCATGCTTTTTGGTTTGCTGATGGCTTAACAAATGATTGGCTCCCAAATAGAAAACGAACCAGTAGTGATCCCGGGACTAGAAGGGATGACTTCCCCACTCTGTGCTCTGATGGAGCAGATGAGCATCCTGAGAAAGATGCATGAGGCAGCATAAGCCAGGGGCTGCAGCCCTGGCAACCCCAGGAGCCACAGCTGCTGAAGACCTGGACAAGAAAGCTGCCACCCCAGGGTCCTTGCCTTGTCGAATGGTTCAATAGCAGTGACAGAGAGAGTTTTATCAATGGAAATGACACTGAAAAAGATGCGGTACCATCTGCTTGGCGGAAGAACCATGGGGCCTTGCCATTTGCCTTGCTGTGCCAACCTCCTAGATGTGTTATTTCCCTCTACGAGGATATGGGCTCCTTGGGAACAGGGACTGTCTTGCCCTTCTATTTAAATCCTTACTGCTTAGAACGTAGTAATAAGCATTACGTACCGTAAAATGCCTTTTTGTTTGTGGTGCAATGGATAGAACACTGGTCCTGGAGTCAGAAGGACCTGAGTTCAAATGCGACCTCAGACACTTGCCACTTACTAGCTGTGTGCCCCTGGACAAGTCACTTAACCCTGATTGCCTCACCAAAAAAAAAATGCTTCCCCCCCCCCATTTATTCACTCAGTTCATCCTCTAGGGCTTTAGTTTCTGTCTTTGTAAAGTAAGAGTTGGGCTAAAAGAGCTCCAAGATGCCTTATAGCTCTAACCACTCTATGATGCTGCTAAAAAGAATAGTTACAACTCTTATTTCTAGCCCAGAGCCACAAAGTTAGGAGGGACCCCCAGAGTCCTCAATTATGACACACCTGACCAACACTCTCCTCAGCGCCACTCACAAGCAAGTTGTCCCCAAGCCTTTGGAGAGTCCATTACACTAGAAGGTTTCCAAAGCACCTCCTTCATGGTAACCTTGTGAGGTACATGGTGAGAACACCATTCTTCCCATTTTACAGATCACAAACAAGACTTGAATGAAATGCTTTATGGACGGTCCTAAAGCTGGTAAGAGTCAGCGCCAGAATTTGAAATCAGAATTACTGCACGCTGCCTCCTTCTAGGATAGTAAGATCCCTAGACAAGAGCACAGCACGAAATGAAAAGCAGGTAAGCATTTATTAGATTGTTAATGGGTATGCAATTCTATAGATGAAAACACAGAGTTGTCCCCTTGTCTTCTTCCTCAATCCACAAACCTCCCAGCCCAGGAGGAAGCATTAGCCCTGGAAGGCTTGGCTACCCAGCTTTGGCAGCCCCTCCCCCAAAGACTGGCCAAAGATAGGAAGAGGGTAGGTGACCAAGGCTGGCAGCAACAGCTCCAGATCGTCGCGTAGGAAGGAAAATGAATTTCTTCCAGTCATGCAGAAATGAAAATATGTGAAGCCAAATGAAAGATATTTCCTGGAGGTGGTAACCCAATTATGCAAATAACTCAGGAGCTGAGTAAGATGTTTGAGGGGGCTGTGCTCCAGGGAGGCAGCCCTAGGCTGTCTTCCTCAGTCCCACCTGCCTGGCTGGCTCTCCCACCATCTGCACAGAATCCAACTGGTCACCGTCTTGAGCTGCTGCTGCTGCCTGATATGGCTGGCTTTCTCTCGCAATATGACCATGCTCTGAAGCTCTAGGTAACTCACATAATCTTCCTTCTTTTTTTTTTTATCACATGATAGATGAAGGAGCATCCCATGAGAGATTGATTTCTCCAGTAAATTGGTTCTAATGTCATATCCCCACTCTCCCTCCCTGTTGCTGTCTGTCACCATCTCTCTCTCCCTCTGCTTGCTCAGACTTTGCACATCTGTTACTAACCTAGGTATTACTCTAAGAATTTATTTTTCCCTTCATTTTAAATTTATTGGGTGTAATGGAGTGGCAACTTTTCAGCCGTCCAGCTCAAAATAATGTAGTTTAGACATGCTTTCGGCGACGGCCCAGAACAAAACTCTTACTGCAAATAGCTTTTCTTAGGCAGCCAGCTTTGATATTTTATTGGACCAAACTGAGTTATTCCCGTCTCTACCATGGAAGGGGAAGGAAGGACTGGAGGAAGGGGGTGGGGAGTGGTAAATGACACATCATGGAGTGGATCCAAAGCTTTTACATCCTCTTGTGGCCTTTCACTGCGTCATCTTTCCTAAAAGTTGCCCGATAACTGTTGACAGGCACTTCCTGGTCTTTTTCTCATCTTGAAAAGGATGCCACAGGCTGGCTGAAATCTGAAGCATCTAGGGGACTCAAATCTCTTAAAAGCAAGACCAAACTATTTCTTTCAGAGTCAGAGTTTTAGCCAAGATTATAATAAGCTATTTAAACTTTGTGCCAATCATAGACCTGGGGACTGACCTGTTCCATTTACCTCTGTTCTTGAAGAGACTTGGCCGTATCTGCAGGCTCCTGTTTCTATGTCCAGGGGAGGGAACACACCCCTGGATTAACACCAGGAAGGCTATAGGGTGGGGTGGTAGGGCCTGCCGGTTATTCAGTCTAGATGGCCTTCTCTCTGCTATTCCCCCTCAAAAGAAACAAATAATTTCCAAAGAAAACCTCTATTTAAAAAAAATTCCTTGTGCTCAACTGAGCCCTGACCATCTGGCATCAGAAGTCAGCCCTCTTCCCTCTATACCTCCTCTCAGCCTGACAGGTGGAGACTTCAGTTTGGGGGTGTCACCTCTATTTGAGAAAACCTGTACTACATTTAAGCCCCTGTGTATTCAGAGCCCAACCAGCCACCAGCCTTCCCCATGCCTTCTGCTATGTGAAGGGCTGTCTGGGGCTGGATTCCCAACCATCTGTCCCGAGTCTGCTCAGACTTCCCTCAACATGGCTCCCATATCCCCAATCCTAAGCCTGAGCCCTCCACAAATAGAGGTTTACCAAAGTAAAGTCATCAGCCCAATGACGCTGGGAATACTCCCCCCAAACCAGGACCTAAATTGAGTCACCAGGAGGTACTAACCTACCCACCTATGAGGGCTACAAGCCTCTCATGGGCTCCTTTAAAACTGTCCACTGTCAAGTACCCTTCAGAATGATGCCGGGTCAGGCCCAGGCCTGGGCCTCCACTCTCCAGCCAGTGGGAATTATTTCCTCATCTTGCCCAGAGGAAGTCCTATTTGAAGGGCTGGTCATGAAGCCAGCTCCCAGTGTCAGTGGCCCAATGGTCTAAAATCAGAGAAGGGCCAGGGCTAAGATGCGCTAGCTCCTTTATCCAGCAACCGGCAGCCCAGCTCCTCTCCCTGCCCACTGTACTGTGCCCACTGTACTGCTCCATGGTCTCCCTTATCTAGGGAAGGGGAAGGGAGCATCTCTGTTAGGCAGCACAAGCACCCTTCCCATCCGTCCCCTCCAGCACCTCCCTCTCCCACGCCCCCCCTCAAAAACGTTTATGCCAGCTGAAGTTTGAAGGCAAGCAGCCCTCTCCTGGCAACCTTTGGGTAGTCGGCAGCCCCTAGCTCAACCAGGTCATCCCACATGTCTTCGAGGAGAGGGGGAGACAAGCGATTTCTCCACACATTGCCAGGGAAACAAAAAGTTTACAAACTCTCAGGCTGGGGGAGGTGGTAGAGGAGGGAGAGCTAGTTTGTAAGGCTGCCAACCTCCCCCCCTCCCCATTCTCAGCAATGGCATCTGAAGTAGCTGGGTGGGGGGCGGCAATATGGCCGGAGGGCATATTCCCGGTGGGTATGCACGAAGGCAAAGACAGGAGATGGGGGGGGGAAGAAGATGATGACTTACTGTCCTGAGGTCGGGCGGAGATGCGAGGTAACTTCACAATCACAACCAGGAATCCAGAAGTGGCTTTTCTTTTTTCCTTAACTTATTTGCAATTGTCGTTAACAAAAAAACAAAAAACAAAAAAAAGGAGGGGGGGCTTAATCTTCAGAGTGCGGGGGGGCGGGTGGAGGTGAGGAGAGCGCTGAAATCTCCAGTCTTTTCCCCTCACCACCCTGGGAAGCTTCAGGTTCTGGAAAACCGCAGGTCAGAAGCTCGGAGAGCAGACGCCGCTGCCCGTCCCATACTCCGGTGGCCCGACCCCTTCGCGCCCCTCCCGGCCGGGCTCGCCCCGGCCCGGCCCAGCCCAGCTCGGTCTGTCCAGCTCCCCAGGCGAAGGACTCGGGTGGGCAGGTCGGTTCTTTCTGCAGTATCCCCACCCGCTCCGGCCAGCCCTGTTCTGAGGGTTCTCCAACAAATGCGCGCCCTTCCCCTTTCCAAGCGGAAAAAAAAAAGTGTATACAAAAGATTTTCGAATAAAATCGATCGTTAGTCCCTACCCCGTGCTGGGCAGGCAGCGAAGCTGCGGCGGGGCGCGCTTTGCAAAACCAGCCGCTTCGGGCTTCCCGGCTCTTTGGTATCTGGGTGTCTCTCGGTCGGTGTGTGGGTTTGTCTGTCTCTGAATCTGCCTCTCACGGGAACTTGCGGCGCCCGCCCCGCTCTCTCTGCCTCCGCCTTCCCCTCTGCGCCGCGGTTGCTGCTCCACCTGCCTCGCTAGCTTCACCCATCTAGGTCCTTCCTTCTCCTGCCCTCGGGCTCCTCCCCGGGGCGCATCAGCTCTCCCTAGCTGCGGGCGGGCGGTTGGGCGCCCCAGGTCAAGCTCGGAGGGCCTCCCGAGCCATGGACAGAGTGAACGTCCCCTCCCCGACCCCGCGCCGGTGCCCCCTTCTCAGTCCTCTGGGCAGCAAGCGGGGTGGGGAGGCGGCCGGCCCAGTCAAGCAGCAAAGGGTCGGCTCAGGTACTGGAGCGAGGAGGGGAGGGGGCCTTCGGCTTCCGTCCCGAGCCGGGGTCGGGTTGCCGGGGGGGGGGGTCCCGAGCGCTCCGAGCGCTCTGCTCAGCTGCCCGGGGAGGTGCGCGCTGCTGGAGCCTGTTCCGCGGTGTCCAGCTCAGCGCATGGAGAGCTGAAGCTTCCTAGGGCTGCTGCTGCTGCTGCCGCCGCCTCTGCCTCTGCTGCTGCTGCCGCCGCTGTAGCCACCACCGCTCCCCTCCGGTTCCTCTTGCCACGGCCATCTGGTGCGTGTCCCTGCAACTTCGGAGTGCCTCGGGCGCTGTCGGGCCCCGCGCCCCTCTGCAGGCTCACCCTGCTCCGGGGATTCGGCTGCCCAGGCGCCCGCAGCTGCCCCCTTTAGCTCTGGGGTACCTCGAACCTCGGCCGCAGCGCCGGGTGAACGCTAAACTCCCGGGCCGGCTCCGAGGCTCTGCGGTCGGCCTCTCCGCAGGGCTCCCCGGCAGAAGCGTGCGCGCTTGGCCCCAGCCTTCGGAGGGGCTCGGGGAGTCCAGGCGACAGAGACAGCGGAGGAGATCGCAGCTGGCAGTCGGCAGCAGACTGCTGTGAGTGTGAGTGTGAGTGTGTGTGTGTGTGTGTGTGCGTGCGTGCGTGCGCGCGGGAGCGCGTGTGTGAATGTGAGTGTGTGTGAGTGCGTGTGCGCGGCGGGGGGAGGGCGTAGGGAGCCTCCCCCACCCGCCTCCTCCTTGGGCTCGCTGGGAGGGGGAGGTTTGGCGATGGCTAGCTCCCCCTCTCCTTCCCGAGGCTGCCAGTCCTCGGCTGGCCCTAGGGAAGCCTGTCTCCACTCTGTCCTCGCCAGCCCTCCCCACCTTTGCTCTCTTCTGCAGTCCCGGCGGCCTTCTGGCGAGCTGTCTTTGCAACCCTGTCCCCCGACGCGGCTCCCTCAGCTTCTTTCGAAAGGATTGGAGGAGGAAGAGAGGGAGGGGACGGGTTCTGGCTAGTGGGCGCTCGCCTCGTGGGCTTCTCTTTGCACCTTTCCGGGTGGATTTGGAGGGGGGACTGGCTTGTCAGCTTGGCAGAAGCAGGGTGGGGGGGGGAGCCCCACTCAGAGCTGCCGTGTAACTCTGTCTTGCAAATTCACCTCGGAGTTTTGCGGGGCCACTTCCTGGCATTTATTTCTCGGTAATGTTTGAGGTCCAGCAGGAGAGGGGAGGGCAGGCGCCCATCCTCCTCACCTCCCTGCCTCTTCTTTTTCTTGTTTATTCTCCTCCTCCTCCTCCTCCTCCTCCTCTCCTCCTCCTCCTCCTCCTCCTCTTTCTTCTTCTCCTCTTCCCCCTCCTCGCTTTCTCCTAGGTGCGGCGGGACCTCCTATTCTGCACCCCACCCCCACCCCCCCGGAGCCTAGCTGGCTCCCCACGCTGTCTATCTGTCTCCCTCTCTCGGCTCCCTCTCCTCTCCGCTCCCAGGTCCCTGGCAGCCTCCCCGACCGCCCCCGGCCTCTGCGCAGTGGGGCCTGCAGAGGGCGCTCTCCCACTGCAGCAGGCAGATCTCCGCCGGCTGCTTCCCCCACAACAGATGTCAGACAATATACTCTGTCGCGTCGCAGGTCCAGAGCTTTAATGGTGAAAAAGGAAAAAAAAAAAAAGGAAAAAAAAATACAGGATTCCTCTCTTCCCCGCATGGCCCTCCGGCCCTCGCTCATTTGCATATTACTTTGCATATCATTTGCATGTTATTCGTTTAATGTTCAGAAATCCCCCAAAGCCACTGCCCCTGTCTCCCAAGTACCTTACTTCTGCTCTCTCTTTTCCCAGTGCCTCCCGCCCTGCCTCCTTTCCTTCTAAAGCCTCCCCTCCCCCCACAACCTCGGTTCCCTTCCCTGAAGAACTCAAAGCATTTTGTGGGCACCATCTCAGATGCTCAAATGTAGTCTTGTTTCTGCATTTCTCTGAAGTAGCTCTTTCTTTCCGCCTCCCCTCTCCTTCCAATTCTCCCCCCCTCCCCAATCCCCCTCACTTCCTCAGAGGGAGGTTGGGGTTTCAGTGCTACAGTGCAAAAATTAAAATTAAAAATAACCGACGCTGGAGATGCAGGTCACTCATTTACATATCCTTTGACATAAAACTGCAGTCGAGGGTCCAAGATCCCCAATTCCCCACGACAGAAAACAAAACAATAGGCCCTCTTCCTTCCTCTCTCTCTTCTCAGGGTAGGTCAGAGACTCAGTCCCCTGGCCCCTTGTCCATCCATTAGCTCTGATTCCGGTCCCTGCCACCCTAGGTGAATTATGGTGACCTCCGGGAGCCCTGAGTGAGGTTGTCAACAATTCATGTGGAAAAGTCATTCTAGGGACTGCCTCCCGTGGGCCCTAAGACGGTTCCAAATTACAGCGATAGTAATAGTAGTAGTGGTAACAATAATAATAATAGTAGTTCTTTACAGTTATAGAACATTTGCAGTCTTCAAATCACTTTCATATCCATTATTCAATTCAATTTAAACATTTATTAAGTAGCTGGTATATGTAAAGATCTGCTGCTTACTTCTTTGGCTGATCACAGTAACCTAGGAAGGCAGGCAGACAGTGTCTGGTGTTTGGCTAGGAGTTTATGCCACACACCTTCAAATCTTTCCCCTTGATTCTCACAACACCCCTACAAAGGGGGAGGGCAGCGGCTATTCCTGCCCCTTTAACGGATGAAGGCATGCATTCACACAGACTTTTTTCTCTGCCTGGAAGCAATGTCCTCCTCATCTCAGCCTTTCATATCCTTTTCTTTCCTTCAAGCCTCAACTCATGCACCATTTCCTCCACAAATGCTCCTTTGAGCCTCCTCTTTTCCCTCCTGGCAGTCAGTCAACAAACATTTAGTAAGTACTTACTATGAGCCAGGCACCTTGCTAGATGATAGGTATAGATATGCACTGTGGAAATACAAAGAAAAGCAAAAATGCATTCCTTCAAGGAGCTTCCATTCTACCAATGGCCTTGACTCTCTACATTTTCCTAGGACACTTTGGAGCTCTCTTATGCCCCCTCATACATTATTTTCATGATATTTGTATTAAGTGCCCAAAATGTGCCAGGCACTATGCAAAGCTCTATATATGCAAAAAGAGACAAAAGCTAGTCCCTGCCCTCAAGGAGCTTACAATCTAATGGGAGTTATGGGAGGTTATGGGAAGCAAGCAGATAAATATGTACAAGCAAATCATTGGCAGGATAAAAGGGAAGAGAATCAACAGATGAAAAATGCTGGTATTAAGAGGGATGAGGAAAGCCTTCTTACAGAAGATGGGATTTTAGCTGGGACTTGAAGGAAGCCAGGGGATCTAGGAGCCAGAGATGAGGAGGCAGAGGATTCCATGTCCAGGGAGGACAGCCAGCAGAAATGCTTGGAGCTGTGTCTCATTTCAGGAGCAGCAAAGAGGCCAGTGTTACTGAATCACTGAGTAAATGTGATTAGAGCTGAAGACTGAGGGAGGTTTTGAATGCCAAACAAAGGATTTTATATTTGACCCTGGAGATAGCAGGGAACCACTGGACTTCTTAGTAAGATTACAATTTCACTTTAGGATGATCACTTAGGCAGTTCAGTAAAGGGTGGACTGGAGTGGCGAGAGATGCCTGGTCAGCAGACCCACTGGGTAGGCTTTTGCCATAATCTGAGAGTGAGATGGGTGAGGACTAGAGCTAGGGCTTGGTAGGGTTACTATTGGACACTGGGGGATACGGAAAAAAAAAAACAATGTTGTAAAAGGCTCTCCCCTCAAGGAGCTTCCATCCACACAATACACTAAAACAATTAAGTCCAAGACACTTTGAGGAAAATGATAGCATTAACTTCCCATAAATAAAGGCTTCCCATAAGACAGAACATCTGAGTTGAGCTTTGAAGGATTCTAGGAAATCAAAGTCAGGAGGAATTGTGCTCTAGGCATGAAATGATATTGTAATCTGGTCAGGCTGCACTCCAGAGTTGTGCCGGGGAATTTGACACCTTTGTTAGGACTAAGATGTTAAGTGACCTGCCCAGGATCACACAGCCAGCATATGACAGAAATGGGGCTTGATGTCAGACTTTCCTGGGTCCAAGGAGGTCTCTCTTATTCACTACTCCATGCTCTCTCTCACCTCATTTAATACAATTTTAAAATTCCCTGCCATCATTAGTCATAATTTTGACATAAATTTGATCAGTAAAGCTTATCTTGAAAAGAGTTAATTTTTCTGGATTTTTTTGTTTGCAACTTAATTCATTAAAGCAGGTAGCAAAAACACTGGCTTGACAACTGAGAAATTAAAAAAAAAACCCACTGTGAAATCATCGCACATCACATTCCAAAAATGCATAAAAATTAGACAGCTCTGTAGCCCCAGGGCCTGAAGCAATTTAACTATGCCTAAAAGAAAGTGGAGAGTGGGCAAACAGGAGTTTGAGCCCTGACCTCTTGGTGAGTAATTCTCTAATATTCTCTCTGAATCACCGTATTGAGTATTTCAATTAAAAAGTAGAAATATAGACAGTGGAAACATATGCTAGGTTTCATGCCAGAGGATCTGGGTTCAAGGGACATTTTCACTATTTACTATCTGTGTGATCTTTAGGTAAGTCATGTAAATCTCTGGCTTCAGTTTGCTTATCTGCAAAAGGGGGTAGAATAGAGTAGCTGACTTCCAAGATTCCTTTCCGCCCTAAATCTATGAATCTATAACTGCGCTACAAAATGGATAGTGTAGTATAGGACAAAGAGCACAGGTCTCTATTGGAGGATACCTCAGTTTGAATCCAGGGTCTACTCCACTCAATACCTCGTGTGACCTTCAGGAACTTATTTCTACTTTCTGGGCCTCAGTTTCCCTTTCTGGAAAATGAAAGCTGTAGACTAGATAATCTTTAAGGTCTCTTCTAACTCCAAACCCTATGATCCTACAAGAGATTTTAAAAAATCAAACCCATAATTTTATTGGTATAAGCTCCCACTGAGGAACTCCCTTGGTCAATACTTCAATCTATGATCTTGGTTGTCTGGGCCACTGAGAGTTTAAGTGCCTTCCCCAGGGTCCCATAGTCAGTATGTATTCTCATCATCCTATAATTTTATGGGCCACTCCCATCTATTGAAGATCCATACAACTGGGCAGAGATGAAAGGTTGGAGGTCAAGGGGAGAAGGAATATATGAACATCCTGGATGATAGATCTGACTTTATAAAATCTACCTGATTTCTCTCTCTCTCCCGTTATGCCCAGCTTTCCTCTGGAGCATGGGCAGGCACGCTGATCAAATGCTTGAATTCTCATGGCTTCAGCTCTAATCAATTTCCTAAATTAGAAGTGGTCAATTCAATCAACAACCATTTACTGAGTAACCTAACCCTGTCACAGGCATTCTATGGGACATAAAGGATTTATTGCAACAAATACATGCAAAGTCCCTATTATGTCTTGTGTTCTTTGGATGAGAATCATGACCTCAAAAGAATCAAAATTCCAAGTGACCCAAAGAGCAATGGAGAGATATAGGGTAAGCGTCATCAAGCCATGGTACATTATCAATAATCATTTTCATAAGAAAGGAAGCATAGCATACATTAGCAAGGAAAGGTGAAAGTAGAGATAGAGGTGGACTTGTCATGCATTGAGAATGAGAGATAACAGATCATAGAAGAGAGGGAGGTAAATGAGCATTTATTAAGTGCCTACTACGTGCCAAGCACTATGCTAAGTGCTTTACAGATATTATCTCATTCAGCCTCACAACAAGCCTGAGAGGTAGGTGCTATCGTTATGCAAATTTTACAGTAGAGGAAACTGAGGCAATCAGAGAGGTTAAGGGATTTGCCCAGGGTCACACAGGTAGTAAGTATCTCAGGCTGGATTTGAACTCAGGTCCTCCTGACTCTATGCCCAGAGCTTCTCTACTGTGCCACCATTTAGAGCTGGAAAAGATCATGGAGAATAAGGTACAAAAAAAAAGTTAAGTGACGTATTGAGGGTCATATAGCTAGTGTCTGAGGTTGGATTTGAACTCAGGGCTTCCTGACTCTAAGCACGGTGCCCTCTCCACTCCATCAGTGTCAAACTGTTACCTCCACGATATTAGGGGAACCAGGGAAAAATCTCCAGTATGTTGGGTGGGTCATCAGTGGAAGATTTATGGAATGATAAAGACAAGAATTGTATAAGATGAGAAGGGGCGAATGGGTTGTAATCTGTTAGTAGAGGGAAATATATATATACA